CTTGTCCGCGAACGCGAAGAAGGGAAAGCCCACTGGTACGCGAACGCGAAGAAGCAATTATCTGAGCAAAAATTGCAGAAAAATCTGCTATCATTCTAAGTTTAAAAACACCCCGAACACCTCCGAAAACACTCCCGAGCCCTCGGGGCTCCTAACCAATCACACACACTAACTCAACAACATCATACGAACTTAACCGTGCGATCAAATCGCCAAAATAACATCATAAACGAGGAATCAAACCTCAAAATCATCATTTTTTTCATTCTAACTTCATAAACTTCAAACTTTAGATATTTAGGTCCGAAACACGTCAAATGACGTCCGATTTCGACCAAACTTTATAGAAAGCGCTTAATACATATTTAAGACTTGTACCGGGCGTCGGAACCAAAATACGAGCCCGATAACACAGTCTTTTAATCAATTTTCATTTCCATTTTCCTTAATAATTTTAGAAAAACAATTTCACAGAAAAATTCTTTTCTCGGGCTCTAGACCTCGGATTTCGACTCCGGGCACATGCCCGAGTCCCATATTTTTTTACGGACCCTCTGGGACCGTCGAATCACGGGTCCGGGTCCGTTTACCAAAAATATTGACCGAAGTCAACTTTAATCATTTTAAAGCCACATTTCGAAATTTTTCACAGAATTTAACATATAATCTTTCTGGCTACGCGTCCGGACTGCGCACGCAAATCGAGGCAAGTAAAAAATTAGGTTTTCAAGGCTCGAAAGCGCGGAATGAATGAGGAAACAGGTGATGACCCTTTGGGTCGTCACAATATTCTATTGAGCGACCAACATTGGTCGCTAAAGTTGAATTATATTTATTTATATTTTATAATTTTTTTTAAACAAAATTATAATTATTAAGATGTTATAACTGGGTCCCAAATTAGCGACCAAAGTTGGTCTCAATCTGTTTACTCTTTATATAGCGACCAACTTTGGTCGCTAATTTTAAATTTTATTTATTTATATTTTATTATTTTTTAAAAATAATATTATAATTATTAAAATTTAATAGGTGGATCCCATGAAGCGACCAACGTTGGTCGCTAATCTGAGTAATTCTTTGACCAAGCAAGTCTGACCAGTCTGGTCAACACTTTGACAAAGTTTTCGACCAAGTTGCGACCAACGTTGGTCGCTAATTTATTTAAAATTATTATTTTATTATTTTCACCAGTTTAGCGACCAACTTTGGTCGCTTTTCTTGACAGACTAACGTTGGTCACTAAAGTCTGGTCGCTTTTTGCAGGAATTCTAGTAGTGAATATTCAAATCTCGATTCCGAGGTCATTTAGTTAAAAGGCAAACCTTAGTCAACTCTTCTAACTTAGAGCTTCCTAATCGAGAGTTATTCTTCCAAATCAACTCCAAACTTCTCGAAAATCAAAACCAACCACATGTGCAAGTGATAATACATAAAGTGAAGCTACTCAAGGTCTCAAACTGCCGAACGATATGCTAGAACTCAAAATGACCGGTCAGATCGTTATAAATAGTCGTAGGGTTATTCTCAAAATAATTAAGTCATCAACATATATCAAAACATTTATGTGAACCTTACCCTTTTTGCAGAGTAAAGAGCGAGTTGTCAGAAAGAATTCATAGTCTTCTAGAGCAGTGAATAACTTAGCAAACTAACATCGTAGTGCATGTTTCAATACACAAAGAGTTTTTCCAAGTCAACATGCCTTCCTTGGACTTGCCACCTGAAATCCAGGAGGTAATTTCATGCATGCCTCTTCTTTGAGATCCCGTGGAGGAATACATTTTGCATATCCATTTGGTGCAACTCCTAGTGCCTTACAGTCGTAACTTCAAAAAATGTGCGTATAGTCACCATCTAATCCACGGGAGCAAACATCTTAGTATAGTCAATACCTTCCACTTGATGATTGTCGAAAATAACTAGACGAGCCTTATACCGTTCAATAGTACCACAAGAGTGTTGCTTTATTTTGTAATCCACCTGCAATGAAGAGCTTTGTTATTAGAGGGCAGATCTTCTGTTACCCATGTCATATTTTTCTCTAAAGCATGTATTTTTTATTTCATTGTCTCCCTCCACCTTTTATCATTCATAACGTCCAACTTCTTCTCCTCTGTTATTTCGTCTTGTCTACTTTCGGTCCCAACTTCCTATGGTTCATGTTCCTCTGGCTCTACTTCACCCATTTGGGCACTCTCCATGCCTCCCTCCCCCCCCCCCCCCCTACTTCAAACTCATCACTTCCATACTCTTCACGGACACTCTTCTATCGATACCATTGTTCGATCCGATCATTGATTATGTGAAAGGAAACTTGGACTCATAGAAATCCACATCTTGGCTGGTAAAATACTCTTTTATCCCCAAATTATACAACTTCTATCTCTTCTTTCCATAGGGATACTCAACAAATATACATATACTACTCCTACTTGAAAATTTAGGCGCATGTTCTCCCTATTTGTGCACATAATATAGTGGCCCAAATACCCGAAGATGCCCGTACTCAAGCATTCGTCCATACAAACGTCATAAGGAGTCTTTCTAGGTAAAATAGAGGATCCGATTAATTAAGTGACATGCAATTAAAATATATTTCCCAAAAACAACCTTGAAAACGCAAGGCTTAAGCTACATTTAATATATGATGATATTTTCTTTTCACTCTACTATTATGTTATGGGATTCCAGTGCAAGAAGTTCGAAAAACAACACCAAACTCAAGAATTAGTTTTTCATGCACGTAAATGCTGTTCAATTATCACTCCTAAATTTTTTAACTCTTATTGAATTGTCTATCAAGCGCAGCAAAGAAATTCTTCAAAGTTTGTGCAACTTTTTCTGTCAATCAATAGAAGAACCGATACAACTTGTGAAAAATTATCAACTACAGTAAAAAAAAAATATGATGCACCGCAAGAAGAAGTCATTCGATATGATCCCCATAAATCAGAGCGAATCAATTCAAGAATACCAGAAGCTCTAAAATTACTCAAAGAAAATTTATCTCTTCTTTGCTTTGCTCGATGAAATACATCCAAATTATATTCAAAACATCACTACTTCTTCTAAACTCTATAAAAGAAATTTTGTTAACTTGTACAGAGGGATGTCCCAATCGCTTGTTCCAAAAATCTAACGAGCCTACAACTTTCGCCTTTAGATGTTGTATTCGCGGTTGGTTCCAGAAATAATGGTGTCCATTTCTCCATTCATCCGCTCCAATCAACATCCTCTATATGCGGTCCTATCACAAAATTTTAATAAATAGAATAAAACAATCTGAGTGATCTATAAATTATGACATACAAATCAAGTTGCACTTAAGTCAGGCACGTAAAGAACGTTTTTCAGGACCAAATTCACATCCAGTCTAGTCGAACCCTCGTTGGTAGCTATAGTGCTCTCCCATCAAGCAGAGTAACCAGACACTTTGGTATTTTTCGTACATTATGCAAAATTTTCAATCTACCTGTCATATGATTAGACCCTAGTGTTGATGATCCAAGAGATATTTTTATACTTACCAGTCAACTTCTTACTCGAACTTAACTTTTGGTTGTTCAACATAGCAACTAGGACCTGCCACTGCTTGTTTCTCAAACTTGAAGGTCTAGATTTTTCTGCTTTCACCATGGCTCCGGCAGGATTGCCTCCTCCTACGGCTTGTGCAGTGTTCACACACGGTCGCCTGCATCCCTCATTTATTCTAACCCTTTGTTATTGTTGTTGTTCTCCACCACGTCGACCAGTCTTCCCGTCACCACGAGGACATTCTCTCCATCAATCTAGATACCCACTCAGTGGAAACAATTTCCCCTTTCTTCATTACGAGCTCTGTAGGAACTACTGCCTTGTATGGCAAGGGTCATCACTTCACCATGCTTGTCAGTTCCTCCTGCAATGGTATTTACCCGTTCATTGTACCAATTTCGAGTAGACCCTGAGCAATCAGATTTGGTCTCACTTTCCCATACAAGGTCTCGTCCAACCCAATAAGAAAGAGATGCACCTTCTCCTCTTCCCTTTTCTTTTCTAACACAACACCAAGATCACACATACATTTCCTGAACTTGTAAGTCAGAATCTGCTCGAAGTTAGCAAGTTTTTCCCAAAACTTTGTCAATTTTTCATAGTAATTATCTATGATCATACCCTTCTATTCATATTCAGCAGGTTCAGCCTTCAATTGTTGTATGTTTGGTCATTAACCATAGAGAATCGTTCTCTAATACTTGCCCATAAGTCTTTAGCTACTTCCATATGTGATATGATTGAACGCAGAGTGGGTTGGATTGTGTTCCGTATCTAGGACATCAACAACGAGTTGATAGTCCACCAATCTTCAATATCTAGAGATTGCTCATTGGGTCTCCTGATTGTCCCGTCTATAAACCTAGACTTCTTTCTCGCCCTCAAGGAGGTCCTCAGGGACAGAGCGCATTCATAGTAGTTCGCCTTTCAGTTTCACTTGCATTATCAATATTTCGGGTTTGTCATTCGATGTTATATCATAAAGAGAGATTATATTTCTCGGGTTTGTTCCATCACTAGCACTGCTTGCTCGGACTACTTCCCTTACTATTGTTCTCCGGCCATGAGTATGATGGTTTAAGGCCGTGGCTCCAATGCACGCTTCTTCCATTGATATTGGAGAGCATATATACAAGTTAACAAATAACTTTAGAATCGCTAACAAAAATGGAAAAGATTACAATAAATTCTAGTTTACTAGTTTAGTACAAACTCTAAATATTTACACAGCCTCCTATTTTGCGACTCGCATATTAGTTATGCTAGTCGCATATCAGTTCTGCGATTCACAGACTTTCTCGTAAATTGCTCTAGATATTGGCATGTTTTAGACAACTCTACGATTAATCTGCGGCATGTATATCCATTTTGCCATTTGCAAAATGCGCTGCATAATACTTACCACTTCCAGACGATGAGAAAATCAAGATCAGCACCATCATCTTTACCAAGGAAAAAAAACATAGTATCAAGTATATTTTCTTTCAGCTTTTCTATTTTCTTGTATTAAAATTGCGTTGAAGAATGAAACCGAGAACCAAAAACATAATTACATCATTGAAGGTGTCTCAAACCAACTAGATAAACACACTTGAAAGTCCTCTAACCCCGCAAAAACCAAAAAGTTGAAAATTATTTGTTCGTAAACAATATCAACATTTTAAAGAATTTCTAGAAATCGACAATCTTGAATTTCAACTTTTGGCATTGTACTTTGCAACAAAACTAGTATGGATCATGCTTTCTCACTTGCCGGCCGGCGCACAAAAAGTTTTCTTTTCCGCTATTAAACACTCATTAAACTGGCACTGGCACCAAATTAAGGATCCAGGATAAATCGGAAGATATGCCGAGTCAGCCATCACCAAACAGGCTTGAGTTTTTTAAACTAGAGTTCAAGCCAACTCATTTGTCAGCAAACTGGCTTCATCACCTTTTGGCTCCAAGCATTGGAACGACGGCATTTTGATTGCCATTTTTACACTGCGTGAATTGGACCCCTCTTCGATATCAGCCATTATTTTTGGTGACTTCAACGATGGACCTCTAGTAAAGAATGGTGGTACAATCTTTCTTCCTTCTCCATTTCCGGTTCTGTACCCTCTTCTAGTGCTACCAAATCTTGATAAAGTGACAGCGCAACTCTTTGTCCGGTTCAGCAATGCCCGGTTCATTACCTCTTTCCTAACATTCTCCGGTAATCTAAGAGTATGCTGGTCCAAATTCTCCCCCGCTATCACCAATGAGTGGCCAGTCGAGAATGATCTAAACCTGCTCAATGTCCTTGGTCTCTTTATAGAAAGCGACCTTGGCGGCCGCTTCGGCACGTTGATACTCAAATTTGGCGTAACATTACAGGTCTTCTCTTGTTGTACCATCAAATTTTCATCGGTCTCTATTTGTATTGAGACTTCGTTATTGCTTTCCTTCCCGACACCTTTTCTGTACTCTATTTTAGTGCTACCATGTCTTGGTAAAGTGACTGCACAACTCTTTGTCCGGTTTAGTAGTGCCCGGTTCATTACCTCTTTTCTAACATTGTCTGATAATCTGAGAGTGTACCTGTCCAAATTCTCCCCCGGTACCACCAATGAATGGCCAGTCGAGTGTGACCTAAACTTGTTCAACATCTTTGGTCTCTTTATAGAAAACGATCTTGGTGGCTGGTTCGGCACGTCGAAACTCAATCGCTTAACACTAGAGGGATCCTCTTGCTGTTTTAAATTTTCATCACTCCCTATTTGTATTGAAATTTCCTTATTTTGCTGCAGATTCTCTGTCCCTTCTTGATCACGGTTTAGTACCTCATGGGCTTTAACTGGCGGTTCATCAGGTTGAGGAGTAGTAAGGTCAGCTCGACAAACGGGGCAAGTGACGTGAGACTTGAGCCAAGCACCGATGCATTCAGGGTGGAACACGTGATCACACTTTGGGATCAACCGCAGCTTTTCGTCGTCTTCAAACTCGTTCAAGCATACTGCGCACTCCAAACCATCCTTGCCAATATGATGATCCTTCACTTCGGCGTATGCAAAGGTGGGGAAAGTCTCGATGACTGAATTGTCGAGTCCACGTGTTGCAGCAGAAGGGCGGCGGCGCGTGGAAAGTGTTTGGAGGATGCTGTTACCATTAGTGGAGATGCGGTAGCGAATGTAAATCGAGAAAAGTGCAACGAAAAACAAGGCAGCTATGAGAACCACTATGATAATGGCCATTGTTGGACTAATACTTGGACGTGGGTACCGGACCTGATTCTCGGGATTTGATGGTAGCGCTGCCGCATTTGGAATCATAAAACATGATAATACCAACAAGATGAGGAGATAAATGGGAAGTGAAACAAATCCATCATGAGCTTTCACCATGGCTCATATAATGCAGTTAAATCCCTCTGTTTTTAGGCGATGTAATGAATACTGCGGGTTTGCAGGGTGGAAAAGTCAGTAATTGTAGTATTTGAAGGAGGAAAAGAAAGAGAGAAGGGAGAGTTTAGCTTCTATTCGATTAAAGGTTTTCATAAATTATTATAGGGATAAAATTGGCTGCTGATCAACCGAGATGTTCTAAAACTGTACCTACTTTTGGTCATAAATGGATGGCTTCAACGTGGGCTTGGAGGAATTTAATAAGGTTAGTAGTTTGTTTTTTTGCTTTCATTATTTGGACGGAATATATATTTGCTTTAAAACACATTCATTTAAGATTAGGGGTGAGGTTCAATTCTATTGTTTACTTTTAGATAATGTGTACCAACCCAAATTTTTTTCTTAACGGTTCAATTTTTTATTTAACTGTTTGGTACACTAAAAATAATACTTTTCCAAATTATTGCAATTGATTCGATTCCTTTTTATTAGTATCAAATCAGGTTGGTTCGATTAACTTCTAACATATTTATTTCGTTTTTAAAAAAAAAATCAGGTACACTCCTTAAATTTTTCGTTAAGTTTTAATTAGTTGACTCTATTTTTAACAATGTCCAAATTAATTAATACATAATAGGAAGTGAGAAATAATTGGTTTGATGTGTTGCAATGCCCGGTATATGTTGGAGGAGGTTGGACTTGGAATAAAGGTGCTTAACAGTTCGATGGAAATATTAGGAACAAAAAGAGTTGGAAGAACCGTTATACCTAACAACTTGTTTGGATTGTTATTACCCGTTTTTTCATAATGTATTGTATCGTATCCTATCGTATCGTATTGTATAGTATTGTATTGTATAATATTGTGCAGTGTTGTTTGAAAAATACAACAATTGAATAGATTGTATCGTTTGTCGTTGTTTCATGATGTCACGCACTAACAATATGAAGAATAAACTTACAATATTACTAAGAAAAACTAAGATAGAGAATAGAATTATTATATAAAAAAGCAGGGTAAAAGATAAAATGTGATTATTTAATTAAAAGGGAGGGTAAGACGAGAGAAAAAAGCAAGGTAACAACGCCACCACGCCAAATTCATTATTCCATAAAGTGGCACTTTTCGTTGCTACGTAACGATGAATTTAACGATACAATACAATAAAGTTTAAGTAACAATCAAAATAAACATTGTATTTAAAATAACAATACAATATAATATACAATAGGTACAACCATTCAAACAAGTTGTAAAATTATCTTACATTTTGTAAGTATTTATCGCTTTTCTTCATAAAGTACTTAATTATCAGATAAATGTTGTATTCTTTTGGGATAATTGCCATCACTAAAATGATCTTATATTTAGTAAATTTGGTTACGATTAAAACTTGAAATACTATTTAAATCAATCTCATGTCAACTCGTTTCGGGTTGTTTGACGCACAACTAAAGGGAAAATTCATAATTACCCTCCTAACGTTAAACGATTTTGCCAGATGCACCTTTTTATCTTTAAGGGGACCTATAATCCCCTAGCACCAGACCAAGCTTGAATTTGTTTTGAACAAAAGCAGTGACATGAAAATGAAAAAGATCCTCCCCCTCTTCCCCCCTTTCCCTCCCCACAACTAGAGCTCTCCAACAACAGAAGAAGTCATAGAAGTCCGAGACTAAAACTCTTAAACTTCTCTCATCTTTCTCAAACAAGATTCAAATCTTTTTGGCAAGTTGAAATTCGAATCTAGTATTGCAAAATTTGAAATTGATTTTTTATTTTTGTGATTTTGAAATTTTTTTAATCAATTGAAAAATTGGTCGTAGTCAAAGAATAATTTTGATGGAAAATATTAATGTATAGGTGTCGGATGTTACTGAAAGCGTTGATGATCAAACTCACCAAGGATAAAGATTGATTATTTGGCTGATTTTACTTTTGGTAGATGGTATGCTTATGGTGGTGGTTATGGTGATAGTGAAGGAAGACGAGGTGGTAGAAAAGAAAACAAAAAGATAATGGAGAAGAAAAAATAAAGAAAATGGCACTATTGTAGTGTAGATAGAAGGATTGATTTTGCTGGTGGTAGTGAACACGGTAGTGTGGTGGCGATAAAAGTGACACTAATGCGATATGTGGTAATAGAAAAGACAAGAAAAGAAAAAAAGAAAATGATATGTAAAAGAAAATTGGGCTCACAAATTTTTACATATGGTATATAATAAAGTAAAAGATAACTAATATTTAATAAAAAATGCTAATAAAAATAAACTCTTAATATTTAGTTATGTCTTACACTCTCGACGGCACATGGCTTAAAAGGTGTTACATATTACACTTCAAACATAGTCAGGGAGGTCATAGGATCCCCGTAAGAATAAAGAGTGTAGGAATAACAGGCGGTGCGGGGCGGGTGCGGGGCAGGTTCTGTCTGAACCCGCAAAATTTAAACCCGCCCCGCCCTGTACCGCATAGGATTTAAACCCGCATTCACCCGCAATTTTTTTTAAAATAAAAATTCTTTCTTTTTTAGAAAGCTAGACTTAAATCTAATTTCTTTTTAACAAAATAATTAATTATATCCAAATTGTTCTTAAATTCCCATCTTTTGCCTCTAAATCTAGTGGTTTTTCCTATAGAACAATTAAACTCCACCCTCAAATCCCATAAAATTACCGGCAAAAACACATGGTAGGCGTATACATAAAGATTTATGGAATATTCGTGGTATAACGAATTTTGGTGGCAATCACAGAAAGGCCAATTATTAATTCTTATGTGCACCAGGACTCGGCTTCAAATTGATCTCTGCGGAACCAAGAACAATGTGAAAATCTTAATAACTAGTAAAATAAAGCTTTATAAAATGAGAAAATAGTATTAGCTCTTTTCATACAAGTATTATGTATCCTTCAATGAGTATAAATTTCACTATTTATAGCTAAATTAGGGGAGACAAGATCCTCAAATCATGCTCCTAATTAAAGTGAGTAAGAACCCCTCTTGATAATTGCATAATGTTTGAAAATAAATGTTAGTATTTTCTGCTACAGTTGCTCCTTTAATACTGTCTTCTTCAATAGGTACCTTACTTTCAAATTCTGTTCCCCGACCTTGATGCATTCGAAACTTATGTAATATCAGTCATATGCATGTAACTTGTGTTAGCCATTTGCTAACTCATCTCTTACCTGTCTTCATTGCCACGTGTCTATTCGAGAAATATCTACCTGTAACATGTGTATTTTACCCAATACAAATAGTCTCCCTACTTTCTGGTGACTCATCTTGATGTGACCAAAAAGTAGATAAGACCTTTCGTTTCTTCGCAGGAAAGTTCTTGAACGATTTCTGACACTTTAAAGGACGCATGTTTCTTTTTATTTTAATGGACTGAACACATGTTGTCTCGTGGTTCGACGAATAATTTTGCCAGTTACCTAGGTAATGATGGCTTTATACTAATCCGCCTATAATCTTCTCCCCTTTATTCCAATTTCATCTTTCACTTTTACAAACTTTCTTCTCCGAGTCTTCTTACTTCTCTATAACTCTCCTTTTCATACTAAAATCTTCTAACTTGTATTTCTCATCACCATGTCTTCTGTTATTTCTTTCTCCGATAACACATCTTCTATCGCTAAACAACATGACCTTATCTTGACTTCTTGATCCACCATAACCGGGGATTGCATCGGCGGCGGTCCTTCCAAGACGAACAAGTTTAAGAAGCCTGACACTAGACCTCCCACAAAAAACACAAGCATCCTTTCTCAGTTGTCTCTCAAAAAAGACTTTCATGTCTAAAAAGAATCATCTGACCCTGATGACAATATAAATAGAGTTGTTGGTGAATAACTTTTGTCTATTCGTCTGACCAGTATTCCTGCTGAAAAGGAGGATTGTGACTGGAAGAATATTGAAATTTTGGCCCATTGTGAAGTGGAAGAGTTACTTTCAGCAAACCAGGGTATATTTTCGTTTACACGTCCTTGTATAATATTAGCTGAGCTACCTGGATCAACCAATACACACTTAATTTTAAAATCTAAAATATTTAAAGATATTTCAAAAGCACATTGTGTGGTAAAATAAGGCCATCGACATCTTCCTTAGTGAAGGTGATTTCATCATCCTCTGACGCTTTCCGAATCCTCTTGCCATGAGTGACAGATATCTTCATTTTTTACAGTCGAGAATGTCACCCTATTCACTTCAACCCCTCCAAAAATCATGTTTATTGTAAGATGGGGAGACCCTGTTGGCTTTGTGGATTCCGATGTATCTCGAATCTTACCATAAATGTGCTTAGCCCGATCACATAAGAACTCTCTAAGATGGTTGTCTTTTAGCAACATTGCTACCTCTTCAAGAAGATGTTGGCAGTCCCCAGTCCTTTGACAATATGTACCATAGAATTCACACCACAATTTAGGATCTCTTTAACTGGAGTCCGATCGAATTGGTTTTGGGAACCTTTCTTCCTTTATATTCCTCATGGCCGAAACCAATTCCACAAAGCTAATATTGAAATTGTACTCCGATAAACGGTGATATCTTGGATCGCGACACCCCGAAGGCTCTATCTTGCAAGTCTCTACTTTTTTATCCACGATCAATCCTTCTATCCAGTCCAGGACTTCCCAACGATTGAAAACCTCTAACTCCACGCCCCTAACTTGACCTAGTATCAGACATTTCGTTTGATACATATGATTGGAAATGATTCTTGGATGGTCTCTGGTCTGCTTCAAGATCACTCTTGAATTTTTATGGATTTCGATAATGATTTTGACCCTTGAAATCCACTGAAGAACCTAATTGATCATCTTCAATCCTAATTTTAGATTCATAGCGATTATAGCCATCAGCCCATATGGTTGCTTAAAATTTCAATAGACTCTCCTTCAACTTTCTTGAGGCATCAGAACTTTAAGGGATCGAGAACCTTGGTAAATGCTTCCGCTGCCCATTCATTCGGTACCACTGGAAACAACATTCTCTCCTTTCAGAATCGGATCATGAACTCTCTCAGCAACTCTGATTCTCATAGAGCGATTATGAATATATCCGCCTTACTAGTTTGAACTTTCCTCGCCCCAAAGTGCGCTTTGATGAATGAATTTGCAAGCATTTGAAAAGAATCAATTGAGTGTTCAGGTAAAAGAGAATACCATGTTAAAGCCCATTTTATTGGGGTTTCTCCAACTTTC